GTGGGTCCCTGGACTCAGCACCCAAGAGCTGCAAATTTTCTCTCCCTCGGCTTCAGTGTAGCAAGCTGGCCTCCGAGCCACAAATGCCACCATCACACCTTTATTTTCTCTGTCCCCCTCAAAGGCCTGCTGACTTTCCCTGATGGTTCTCATGGAATACCCCGCAATGAAGGTCTGTTCGAGAACAACAAGCTTTTGCGGCGTGAGAAGTGCTCGGCGGTGGTCCAGCGGGCCCAGAGCGCCTCCAAGTCAGCCCGGAGCCTCACTGCCTGACGGGGGCTGTGCCCAGCTGACAGCAGTGCCCACCACCCGCTCAGGGGGGGAAATGAACCCAACGTGAGAGGAGACAAAAATGACCATGATGCGGAAGCCCCAGGAGGGGCCTGTCTCCTGCAAGGCAGGGCTTTGCTCAGAGAAGGTCTGAGGCTCAGGCCACTGCAGCAGTGGTCACCCGGCGTGTCCTTCCCTTCTCTTGCTCATTGGAACTTCTGTCCCTAACACCGTAGATCACCTGGTGCAGACCGGCTGCCGCCTTTCTACTTCATTTTCTGCCAAGTGATGCAGAATCTCTTCCTTCTGCCTCTGTTTGGTGCAGGTGATCCCAGCCCCAGATGAGGGCCAAGTGCTCAGTGCTCTGTGAGAAATGAGGAAAACAATAGGGGTGGCCTCGACAGTATAGCGGTCCCATGAAAGTCAAGACCAGAGCTTTTCTGTATGTTGTCCTGCATTCCTGGTGGGCATCTCATGGCCCCGGGCCTTCCGCTTTGCCTGACCAGCCTGGTCCTGTGTCTGCCTGTTGCCCCTGTGAAGGGTTCAGTGAAGTACTGTTTTCCTCTCCCTTGACCTTACAAGCTATCTTCCTACCCTGAGTTCCAGCAGGTAATCTGTGCCCCTTGTCCTTCCTTCGACATGGGAAAGGATCCTTTTAGTCAGAAAGAAACTGATGTAAACAGTCATCTTATAGCTTGTAATTATTACTTACTCCAGGTCAAGGGCAGACATCTCTGGGTCACATCAGGCCTTGTCATGGATTGAACTGAATCCTCAAGGATGGCCTGGGCTGACACAGCTCCTTCCCAGTGGACCAGTGGGTCAGACCCACCTCAACCCCTTGGGGTTCAGTTAGAATTTGACCCATCTTGGGAAGGCAATGAACTCAAAGATCATTTGGTTCACTGTAACTCTTCCACCATGAGCCTTGGCCATCAGGCCTAGGGATCAGATCTGGATTGATTAGACTCCTGCACAATTCATCACAGAGGCCTCCAGTTACCCTGGAATCCCAAAATGCCCCACCCCATCCCCAGCCCCTTATCCTCACACTGAATGTCTCCTCAACAGCAGATTGTGGTGGAAGTGATAGTTGTGTGCCTCTATTTATTCTCTGCGTTATACTGTGGAAACAAGTGCTTATGAGGAATAAACAAATCACCAGAACTGCCTATACTTGGTTTTCCTGACTCTCTTGCTCTACATCTGTATGGACATTGGCCCATTTGCTGTTTCTAAAAGTTAGTCATAGATGAGGGTTGAAAACTGAGGGTTGCACACTTTACTATGAAATAGCACCTAATTCTGCAAGGTAGGTACAGGCAGAATTTTAAAAAAAGAAAACACAAACAAACAACAACAGCAGACAGGCTGAGATTGCCCTAACTAGTGAGTGGCAGAGCTGGGTAGGATTTGTATCTGGGACTTATTGGCTCCAAAGCACTTTCCCCACTGTACTCATCTTGAACGTCAGGGTGCCCAAGTCCTGAGACAGGTTATTGTCCCACCTGCTGGTTATCTCGGGCAACTCTGCACAATCACCTGCCACGCCAACCCTTTCACATGCACGATCTTATAAGTCCTGAGAGGAAGGTACCATTATTATCCTGCTATCACCGATGAGGTTCAGGGCATTTACATACTCTTCCAGGATCCTGCTGACGCTAAGGCATCTACAGATCCAAGAATTTAAGCCCAGAGGCTGAGCTCTTCACCAGTGCACCAGCCTGCCTCCCTAGCCCTAACTTTTTGCCCCTCTCCTGAACCTGATTCTCCTCAGCCCAGATCCTCCAGAAGTCAACTATGAGAAGAGCCCAGATGCCAAGCCCCAAGCTTCTAAGTGTCAGCCAGATGCCCAGTTTCTGTTGAAGACTGATACCTTTTATATTCTGTCCTCTAGTCCTTGCCCTAAACAAGGATTTGTTTACCTTTCTTTTTAACCAGAGTAGTTTTTTTAAAAATTCATCTCAGGTTTCCTGCCACTGGTCAGATTACCACTGAATAAGCTTAAACATTTTAGAGAAAAGTGAAAGTGAAGTCACTCAGTCCTGTCTGACTCTTTGTGACCCATGAACTGTAGCCCCAGGCTTCTCCATCCATGGGATTTTCCAGGCAAGAGTACTGGAGTGGGTTGCCATTTCCTTCTCCATAAAAGCAGCCTTTTAAATTAATATGCTAGGTGTTTCTAAATATCTCACTTGAAATGTTTTGCCTCTTACCTCTCCCATGGGAAACTTCAACAAGCTTTTTCCCTAGGACACCAATAATCGAATGCTTATGTTTGTTCAGTATTCTTAAAGCCTCTCTCAGAGCTGGGAAAAAGCAGACCTTTGGAGCTAAATTGCCTCTAGGAAGGTCTTGATATCTGAGCAGGAAACCTAAGATCTGTGTAACAGTGGAGTGTTAGTCTGTACATAGTCATGCCAATTTAACTTATTAAACTTTATTGCAATAACAGGGGAGGAGCTAAGATGGCAGAAGAATAGGACGGGGAGACCACTTTCTCCCCTACAAATTCATCGAAAGAACATTTGAACGCTGAGCAAACTTCACAAAACAACTTCTAATGGCTAGCAGAAGACAGGCGCCCAGAAAAGCAGCCCATCGTCTTCAAAAGGAGGTAGGACAAAATATAAAAGATAAAAAGAGAGACAAAAGAGTTAGGGGCGGAGACCTGTCCCAGGAAGGGAGTCGTAATAGAGGAAGTTTCCAAACACCAGGAAACCCTCTCACTGGCGGGTCTGGGGGAAGTTTTCGAATCTCGGAGGGCAACCTAACTGGGAGGAAAAATAAATAAAACCCACAGATTACATACCTAAGAGCAACTCCCAGCAGAAAAGTACCCCAGACGCCCGCATCCGCCACCAGCAAGCGGGGACAGAACGGAGAGGAGCAGATGGCATTGCTTAGGGTTAGGACCGGCCCGAATGCCCTGAGGGCAATCGGAGGGAGCTAACGTGAGAGAGCAACTTAAACTGTGGGATAGCAAGCAAGAGAGAGAAAATTTACTGGCCCGAACACACTGCCAGCCGTTGGCGGAACAAAGGGACTGAGCAATTCCAGAGAAGAGCTAGCCAGTGGCAGACCGGCACATCCCCCGCCAGAGGCAGGAGGCAGGGGGGAGGGGAAAGGGGCAAACTCGGCCCCAGAGACGGCACCCCCTACCAAACTGCAAACTGGCTCCCAGTTTCTAACCGAAGACTTCCTATGATTCTGGATGGTCGACATCCGCTGGGAGGGTCGCGGCTAGAGGCCAGCTCCTGAGAACAGACACAAGGCTCATGCACCCGACTGGCATGAGGAAACTGAGGCTGGGACCCAGGAGGGGATAAGGCACACTGCACCCCGGGAGAGTGCGCCCGTCAAGCTCCTGGCTGCCTGAGCTAAATTCAAGCCCAACAGAGTCCGCGCTTTTGTGGAATACCCAAAAACTGGAACCGCACACAATGCAGGGCCCACTCCATATAGGGCAGCCGGGAGCCTGAGCAGTGCAGACGGGGAAAGCACACTCCCGTGAGCGGGAGGCGGGGGGGCAAACCCCGTGTGGCAGGGACACTGCGAGTGCTCCCCCCACACACCAGCGATATCTGTCTGCAGGGCTCCTCCCTCCCCACAGCACGACTGAACAAGAGACCACCTCCACACGCCTGTGTCAGGGCGGAAATTAGACACTGAAGAGACCGGCAAAATGAAGCCAAATAAACAAAGGGAACCGCTTCAGAAGTGACCGGTGCAACAGATTAAAATCCCTGTAGGTAACACCGACTACACCGGAAGGGGCCTATAGATATGGAGAAGTGTAAGCTGGAACGAGGAGCTATCTGAAACCAAACCGAACCCACACTGACCGCAACAGCTCCAGAGAAATTCCTAGATATATTTTTACTTTTTTAATTTTTATTTTTAATTTTTTAAAAATTAAACTTTATTGCAATAACAAAGTAACTGTTCTTAATAATAAAAGCAGAGTGTGTATAGGCAAGAAGATGGTCTTTTCTCAGGTCAAATCCCCATTCTTAATGTTTCAGACCTGGGTTGGCTAGCATAGCCTTCTAGAATGTCACATTTATCCACCAGGTGTCATTATTTACCAGTTCTGGTTAAGTCACTGGGCTGTCTCACTGGTACATTTGATGGCTCAAGGCTAGAGACAATATGAGATGAATCAAAATAGATTTAGAAAAAAAAAAAGATTTAGGAAAGGACTACAGTGTAGCTTGGGGGACTGTCAAAGACCAGTGACAACTTTCTGATCAGATTTTCCAACCTACCGCTTCTCCTGGAAGGAGTCAGAACTAGGGCTCTCAGAATTACCCCAGCTTCTGGCTGCCCTGTGCTGGACACAGGTTTGTACCCTCAAGCCTAAGCAGTCTTCCTGCCATTAAAACATGGCCTTTCTGTGCCCGGCACCCTTCCCGTCTGACTCCTGGCTCACGGGTCTCAGGGGACAGAAAAGCACAGTAGAGAGATAAATAAGTCATGTTCCTTCCTACACTGAAGGTCTCTAAAGACCCAGAGTTCAGGATACAAATACCCAGAGATCAGAGATCATGGGGCTGGGAGGACAGGAAATAAGCATGCCTGGTAGTGCCTCGAGAAAGTCTACCTGGAGGACCGAGGTAAGAAGAGGAGCCTCGAACCCTGAGCCCTCGTCTCACCCACGTTTCCTTCAGGCCGCCGCCACCCGGCAGGAGGCTGAGGTGGGTGCGGTCGGGCAGTCCCACCAGCGCTCAGTGCCACCCATTCCTGGCGAAGTCCAGGCGCAGCGCCTCCTCCTGGGCGGGGCTCAGCTCCTGCAAGGGGGAGCGGCAGGGGCCTCCGTAGTAGCCAAACCAGTCCATGGTTTTCTTCAGTCCTGGGATCCCGAAGCGCCGGGTCACCTAAGGAGCAGCGCCTGTTAGAAGAGACTGGAGAGTCCCCTTCACACACACGCACACACACACACACACACACACACACACCAGGCATGTCACTTGCAGAAGGTTAGGGTACCCACCCTCCTTCCCCGGTAAAGTAACTCTGCCGAATCTATGACAGCCAGGGTAGATTGGGAATCCAGAAGGCAGGTGGGTGGGAGAGAACACAGCCCAAAATCTAGAATGAAGGAAGGAGCTTCCTTTGGTTTTAGAGAAACCCACCCCACTGGGGAGGAGAGCAGCATTCAGTCCTCAAGCTGAGAAGGGAAAAGGCAGCAGTGCTGTGGGTCTGGGGGCTAGAGCATCTCTGGTCTACAGCCCAGTTCCCTGGTACCTGACCTGGGCGTATGGGTTGCAGGAAATCAGCATGGTCCAGACCTCTACTGTCCCCACAGCAGGGCCCTCCCATCCACCCATAACTCTTCCCTGATCCCCAATTCCAAATGCTCTCACAGGGAAAACAATGCATCTGTTGTCCAAAGAATAACCTTGTATCAGTTTATCTCTGAGCAAGTTCACTTGCCTAAAAAAGGAGGGGTCTGGACAACATGATCTCTAAACTTTTCCATTGTAATGGAAGACCTAATTTAAAATCAGGCATGGAGTTTTACAGAAAGTGAGGTATCTCCTTTCTTTGCTTCTAGCATAGGAACTCGTTGTTTCATGCTGATCACAAGTGTTAGATTGGTCTTTGATGGCTTAAAAAGAAGTAATTATTACTTAATAATGTTTCACTCTGAGGGAAGTAAAACCTTAGAAATATGGGCTTCATGAAGGGTAAAAATAGAAAAGAGGTTGTTTGGGGTAAAAAAAAATTGGGAACCACTGATGAATGACTGACATTTAATAACTATTCACCACTAGAGGCCAGTAGACTTTAGTAAGCTTCCTCCCAGTCCTGGTTCCAGCCGTAATATTCTAATAACCTGAGCATTGCGTGAGTGTGGGTGCTCAGTCGCTCAGTCCTGTCTGACTCTTTTGGACCCTATGGACTGTAGCCCACCAGGTTCCTCTGTCCATGGGGTTCTCCAGGCAAGAATACTGAGTGGATTGCCATTTCCTCCTCCAGGGGATCTTCCCGACCCAAGGATCAAACCTGTGTCTCCTGCATCTCTGGCATTGGCAAGAGGATTCTTTACCACTGAGCCACTTGGGAAGGCCCAATAACCTGGGCATTTCACCCAAAACCTGAGTAGGGTGAGAAAGACGATGGAAACAAGAAGTACCTAGAAGAAAGCCTTCTTCCACCATGGGTGTCTGAAGGTCTCTGATTTGTTGTCCCTCTTTAGACCCTGAGAAAGGGTGGAATGGTTTGGAGGTAAAAACCATGGAAAGTCCTAAATATAGCCAGGGCAAGAGGCTGGCTGGGTGGGAGGGCAGAGGAAGCACATTGTGTTCGAGCAGGGCAGGGCAATAAGGTGACATCAAGCTGCTCTTGGGGTGGCTGAGCCTATAGCCCAGGCAGCAGAAAGGTGTTCCAGGCATTCCTGAGTGTGTGCCCAGAGCTGGCACAGGATGGGACACAAAGTGAAGGGTAAGACAAGATGGCATGCTGGGGGCAGCAAGCATCCTCTCTTCCCAAGGGGCAGCCCAAGCTGCTTTGTCTGTAAAATTAGGAGATAACGAAAGCTACCCCATGTCACAAGAACTGGATGAGAAAAATACCACTATTATAAGCAACAAGGTTCTACTCTGTAGAACAGAGAATTATATTTAATATCTTGTGATTAAACCATAATAAAAAAGAATATGAAAAAGTATATATATGTATAACTGAGTCACTTTGCTATATAGCAATAATTAACAATGTAATTCAACCATGCTTGGATAAAAAAATAAATTTAAAAGATCCTACTATTAGCCCAGACCCCAAGGGGCCTGGAAGCTCCTCCTCTTCTTGTCTGGTGGTATGTAGACTCTGGAACTTTCTCTCTCACAGGGAGGGGAATGGGAGAGCAGAGGTCCTGCCCCAGTGGAATGTTGGTATGTATAGTACAGCCTGGCCAGATGGGGCTTAGCCTAAAGGACCTTATTCCTGCAGTTATTACAACCTATCTATAGCGCATCCTATGCCAGGAGAGTTTCACAGCCAGGGAAACTCAAGCTTGCCTCCTCAGCTGTCCTTTCTCTACATCTGAATTAATCTGTCCCTTTGAGGTAAAGATATAAACTGTGAGCGACATCTAGAGCCTGCCCACCACTTTACCTGCCTCAGAGGCAAAACTGGATGGAGCACGAAAATACTCAGTCATGAGACAAATATTTAATGCAATATTTTTTAAAACGTAAAAATCAATGCAAAAAAAGCCCACGATGAGCAGAGTCGAGGTTTTAAATAGTGGCAAGATCCAATAGAACCGTGCCCAGAATCTTGTAGCCTGAGGCCATTAATTACATGTGCCCCCTATACATGTTTTGCATGTTTTTAATGGTAAAGTTTTTTTTTCTAAAAGTAGATTTAGGGAAAAAAGTTGGTTTGATGTGTTTGCTTCCATTCAAGCCAGGGAAGTAAAATTCTAATAAGTTATCTTTTTGGTATTAAATGAAAAAAGTGTTGCAAATATTAATGTACCTACTTTAAAATTTTTCAGTGTTTTTTCCCAACTATTCTAATATCCTGGGAGGGAAAAATCACTGTTTAGAAAACTACCTGAATAACTTCCCTGCTGGTCCAGTGACTAGGACTCTGGTCTCCCAATACGGGGAGCCTGGATTCGAGCCCTGGTCAGGGAACTGGATCCTACATGCCACAACTAAGAGTTTGCATGCTGCAGCTAAGATTTGGTACAGCCAAATAAATAAAAGAAAACTGCTTAGAGCTTTCACTCTAAAGAATAGGTGTACTTTTCTTTATTCCTCTCAAAAAGTAGAACAACAACAACAAAAAAAAAACCAAAGCCCAGGACATTATATAAAAACCAACATAAAAGTCTGAAAGGCAGAGAGAAGGAAGACTGACTAGTGACCTCGGGACCCAAGAAACAACACCTTGCCGAGCTCCTCGGCCCAGACTTGAAACCAAAGGAGCAGTGACCCTAAAATGCCAGTAAGCAGAGGCAAGAAAAGCCCCACAAAAGTCAGCTCCCTCTGGTCTGAGACAAGGAAGGGGCAGCTGAGCAAGATGGAGAACTTGTGAGCAATAATCACTCCAGCCAGACCCCGCAGGAGAGTCAGAACTTTGACCACTGCCCACCCTTAAGGAGGCCACCCTGTCAAACACACTCGAGGTGTCAGGGGAGGCCATGTGGGGAGCAGTAAGGAAGCACTTCTACCCCTTCCAGCCAGTGAGGTATCAGTAGAGGCCTAGTATGGAGTTATTATTTTTAAACTCCCAAAAAAGAAACCTCCAGGCCCAGATGGTTTCACTGAAGAATTCATTCTAAAAAATGTTCCAAGATATAACATAAATTTTCATAATCTCTTCCAGAAAACAGAAGAGAAGGGAACATTTCCCAATCAATTAATGAAGCTATTTTTATCCTGATACCAAAATCAGACAAAGACAGTACAGAAGAAAAGAAGCAAAGAAAGGAAGACTATATACCAATATCTCTCATGAATATAGACATGAGAGGCTAATATTGATAAAATATTAGCAAATGGAATTCAGCAATATATAAAAAGAGTTATACAGCATGTGCCAGTGGAGCTTATTCCACTGGGATACAAGTCTGGTTCAGTATTTAAAAATTGTTAATGTAACTCACCATGTTAACAGGCTAAAGAGGAAATAAAACACTTGATCATATGAATCAATAAAAAAATTTGACAAAAATTCAACATCCATTTATGATTTTTAAAAACTTTCTGAAAGCTAGAATAGAGGGAGAACTTCCTCAACTTGATAAAGAGCATCTACAGAAACCTACCTTCCTTTGTGCTTAACAGTGAAAGACTGAATGCTTTTCCTTAAGATCAGAAACAAGTCAAGATGTCTACTCTCACTACTCTTATTCATCTTAGTGCAGGAAATTCTAGCCAGTGCACTAAGGCAAGAAAGGAAATAAAAAGCATGCAGATCAGAAAGGAAGAGATTAAAACATGCCCTATTTATAGATGATATGATTGTCTATGTAGAAAATCCCAAGGAATATAGAAAAAAATCTCGTAGAACGCATAAGTAAGTTTAGCAAAGTCATATACAATATGAGATAAGCAAGCAAAAATCAGTTGGTTCCTATACATACTAGCAATGAACATACGATAGTGAAATTAAAAATACAATATCATTTATAATCACTCAAAAATATGAGCCACTTAGGTGTAAATCTCTCAAAACTTGTAGAGAACTTGTGTGTCAAAAACTACAAAATGCTGATGAAATAAATCAAAGAAAGTTTACGTAAATGGAGACATATCCTATTCAAGGATTTGAAGACAACAAAGAAAAAATGTCAGTTTTTCCCAAATTGGTGCACAAGTTTAAGACAATTCCTACCAAAATCCTAGCAAAAAAAAAAAAAAAACAAAATCCTAGCAAAAGTATTCATAGATATAGATGATATTTTTCTAAAATGTATATGGCAAGATAAAAGATTTAGATTAGTTAAAACAATTTTGGGGAAGAAAAGAACAAAGTAGGAAGAGTCGGTCCAGCTGATTTCAAGATTTATTATACACCTACAATAATCAAGTCTGTGTGGTACTGCAGAGGGATAGATCAATGGGGAGAATAGAGAATCCAGAAATAGACCCACACAAATACACCCAGCTGATTTTTGACAAAGGTGCAAAAGTAATTCAATAAAAGAAAGATCATCTTTTCAACAGATGGTGCTGGAGCAAGTGGATATCTACAGGCCAAAAAAGAAAAGGAAAAAAAAAAAAAAACCTTGATCTAAGTCTCATACGTTTTACAAAAATTAACTCAAAATGGGTCACAGGCTTGTAAAACATAAAACTTTTAGGAAAAAGAGAAGAAAAACTTCACAATCTTGTGCTAAGCAGAGAGTTCTTAGAGTTACATCAAAAGCATAAACATGAAAGTAAATATTGATAAATTAGACTTCCTTAAAATTAAGAAGGGCTTCCTGCTGACTCAGAGGGTAAAGTGTCTGCCTACAATGTGGTAGACCTGGGTTCAATCCCTGGGATGGGAAGATCCCCTGGAGAAGGAAATGGCAACCCACTCCAGTACACTTGCCTGGAAAATCCCATGGATGGGGAAGCCTGGTAGGCTACAGTCCATGGGGTAGCAAAAGTCAGACACGATTGAGCAACTTCACTTTTCACTTTCAAAATTAAAAAAATTTTGCTCTGCAAAAGATCTGTTAAGAGGATGAGAAGTATTTGCAGACAACATTTTTGACAAAGGATTAGTATCTAGAAGATATAAAGAACTTCTAAAACTCAACAGTGGGGAAAAAAATCCAATTGGAAATTGGGTAAGAGACAAAAATAGACATTTCATATAAATGGCAAATAAATACATTATAAGAGGTTCAATAGCATTAGCCATCAGAAAAAATGTAAATTAAAGCCACAATGAGATGTCACAACATGCCTATCAGAATGGAAAAAAACTCACAACAGCAAATGCTGTTGAGGATACAGAGAAACTGGGTCACTCATACCTTTACACTGATGTAAATACAAAATTGGAGAAGGAAATGACAACCCACTCCAGTATTCTTTCCTGTGAAATCCCACAGACATAGGAGCCTGGCAGGCTGCAGTCCATAGGGTCACAAAAGATTTGGACACAACTTAGCGACTAACAACAACAAAAATACAAAATAGTACACTTACTCTGGAAAAAAGTTGGTCAGTTTCTTAAAATGCTAAGCATGCAAACATTATACAACCCATCAGTTGTGTATTTATCCCAGAAAAAATGAAAACTTATAGTCATACCAAAATCTGTTCATGAATGTTCACAGCAGCTTTTAATAGCCCCAAACTGGGAACAACCAGCTATCCTTCAACAGGTTAATGGTTAAACAAAGCTGTTTCTGGCCACATTCAGTAATAAAAAAGAGCTGCTACATGTGTTTGAATGAATCTCCAGAAAATTATGCTGAGTGAAAAAAAAGCAAATTTAAAAATGTTCTAGGTGATCTTATTCCATTTATATAACTGTCTTGAACTAATACAATTACAGAAATGAACCTATTTGTGACTGCCAGGGGTTAAGGTGGGGGTGGGGGCAGGAGGTAAGTAGGTATGACTATAAAAGAATAGCATAAAAAAAAAAAGAATAGCATAAGAGATCCTTATGTTAATGGAAATATTCTATATCTTGACTATATATTAGTCAAAATCCTGGTTGTGATATTGTGCTATAGTTTTGTAAGATGTTACCATCGGGGTAAACAGGGTAATGGGTAGATGGAATCTCCCTGTATTGTTTCTCATCATTTCATGTGAATCCACAGTGATACGAGAGTAAAAAGTTTAAAGTATAAATGAAAACATGTCTCCAGGGACACAGGTTTTTCTTTTTGCCTCAGACTCCAGTATGGCTCAGCACAGCATTGCCTGCACTTGACCAGCATTCCACCTTGCCTCTTCTCCTTGATTTGCCCAACACAGACTTGGGGTACTCGGTCTGACTGCAGAATGGATTATTTGAAGACAGGACTCTCCTGGGAAAGCTGGGCTCTGAATACCTCCAGGCTTCCCATGCCTTTATTAACCTGTCATTCCACTTTTCAGGATCTGGCCCCTTATAAAGCTGACATAAAGGCCCATGGTTCCCTCTCTAGGCAGTGTATCTCTAAGTACAGTTCCAGGATTCCCTATGTCACAATCACCTAGGACGTTTGCCTCAGTGACTATTCCTGAGCATAAAAGAGCAGAATTTTAACCAGCTCCCTGAATGAATTCTAATGTACACTTAAGTTTGAGAACCAACGGGGCTTGACTTTGTCTGAAGTCAAGATTTTCTGGGAAGGCACAAAAAGTTTCCCACACTGGGATGTTCTCTAAAAGGCCTTTCTGAAAGAGGAGAGACCAAGGAGGGACCCCTGTGCCAGCACTGGCTCCTGTTCCAGCAAGGACACAGACCACCCCCACGCTGGGCCCATGGGCTGGGAGCTCACCGCAGTGTTTGGCTCGATGAGGCGGTGCTGCAGTTTCTGGGCATCTTCCCATTGCCCTGTGAGGCAGAGTCGCTCCAGCTGGCACACCTGAGCCCCCAGGACATTGGCCAGGGCACACACGCCCCCCACAGCTCCTGCCACAAGGTAACAGGCAGAATATCAGCCAGAGCCTCTTCTCGAAGAGAATTCTAAACCCTGGTCCCCGGCACCTCTTTGTTCTGGGGAGTCAGGCTGCGGATTTTTAGGCCACTGGTGAGCCACAGCTGAGACACGGTCTGTGAGTTTACGGAGTACAGGTTTCCAGAGAGAACCTTGCCAGCATATTCAGAATAGAACTCCACAGGCTGAGGGGCAAGGAACAGAGCCTGAAGGCTGACTCAAGGACGGTTCCTTTCTCTCATCCCCCTCTCCCCCACGGTAAAGTCCCACCTGCCAGTTGGCACCTCTACACTCCTGCAATTGCCCCCTGACTCATCAGCCCTGGAAGGGGATGGCATGGATGGGAAGCCTCTGCTCTACGGAAATTGTATTCCCCCCAGTGAATTGAGCCTTGGGCCAGTCGTGGGGGAGGAGAATGAGCACTAGACTTAGTCAGGAGACCCGGCGTTTCCTCCCATTGGCTGTGTGAACTTGGACGAGCCATCTAACCCTCGCCGGCCCTCATTGTTCTCATCTGGGCAATGGAAACGGGCTGGCTGTGATCTCGGAAGTTCTGCCACTTCTGCCAACCTGTTTAGTGTGATTCCAAAGCTAGTTAGGAGTGACTCAAAGCAGAGTGGCCTCAAGACTGGAGAGTGGGCATTTCTCATGAGTGAATATAACTGCTGTTTATCAAAAACCTACTGTGTCAAGGGCTATGACAGACACAGGGCCAATGCTCTCTAATCCTCACATCTCCCTGCTTTGCCGAGTAAGAACTCAGGCGCAGAGAGGTCGTTTAGCTTGCCCGGTGTTAGTGAATAAATGGCAGAGCTCAGATTCCAGCTTAGATCTCCAGCCTGCAGAGCCAGTGCTATTTCCGCCTACCAAACTCAGGAAGGAAGCATAAATGGGTCTCCTTTAACTCTCCCCTTTAAAGACTGTGACAGGGCAGAGGGGAGTTATGCGGAACCTATACCACAAGCCAAAGTCTGCAGAGACCAGAAAGAACATGAAGCAGCATTGTCCCCTGCATCACTGGAAAAGTAACTCAAATCTCAAATCATTGGGGCTTCAGCTGATGGGAGCAGGTACTCCCCTCCCCTCCGGGGCCCAAATCCAGGCTGAACTCAGGGACCTTGACCCCAAGCAGACAAGAGCACTTGGTCTAAATGGTAACATTCCTAGGATCCTATACTGGAACAGTGTCTGATCAGTCAGATGAAGATCCCCAGGTCAACCCTGCAGGCCTGACAATTCATTCTGGCCTGGGCCCAGGGAGAGAGGAAAACGCACTCCCAGACTGGTGGGTAGCGCCCCAAGGCCTCTGCCCTTAGACGATGATTTACAAGGTGAGATTAAAGGAGCTAAATTTGTCACCTAAGCAGGGAGCTTGGGACTTAGAACAAACTGCAGGCATCCCCACTACAGGCCAGGGGATTGTTCACGGCCACCCTCCTCCGCCTAACAAGGTCACTTAGAAGCGTCCACTATTCAAATAAGTAAGTGGTGAGACATATCTCTGAGGTTTCCCAGCAGGCAGGCTGGCAAAAGCCCCCTGTCCACACAGTCCTGGCCTTCAGCGTCTTTCCCAGCAGAACCCAGCTGCCTGTATCATGACCACTTGTCACAATCTGAGAGGAGTGGGAGGGCCTACCTACGGCATAGCTGGCCAGCAGGAAGCCAGCCGATCCGGCCAACACCTGGAAATCCTGACTCCTGGTCTTGTGAACAATCAGCCCAATCCTGGTCACCTGTAATAACAGCCAAGCTAGTGTGAGAGCTGGGCCGACAGGCTCTGCTGCTGGCCTGGCTGGGGGCTGGGGGCTGGGCAAGTGTGGGAGAATGAGAGTCGAGGTCCCAGAGAGATACCCCCCTTGATTCAGATGAACCCCAGAGAGACCAGAGGACAGAGGGAACCCACACCAGAGTCCAGGACTGAAGCAGGTCCTAGAGCTGCCCTGAAGTGGGTATCAAAGGAGAAGAGAAGGAGTCCCCAGCCGAGGGCTGCTGCCACTCACATCACCCCCACTGTCCTTGATGCCCACAATATTGGGGTGCTGGGAAAGCGTGACCACCGCATCCACCGGCAGGTCCAGCCCCGTGTTGGCTGGGACACTGTACAGCACCACAGGAATCGGAGACAGGTCAGCCACCTGAGGGGTGCAGAGAAGAGAGGGGAGGGCAGCTGCCCCAGGCCTGAGGCGGTCGGAGCCTGGATCTGTGCAGGACTGCTTGGACTGGCCCACCTCCTGGATGAGAAGTCACGGAGCTGTGTACCCTGATTGCAAACACTGATCCTGGGTGATATTGAAGAGTGCTTTCTGTGTGCCAGGCACAGCTCCAAGTCTTTTTTGTTTTGACTGATCTTAATCCTCCCTGGAGGAAGATTCATCATTCCTCCCGTTGGAGAGGGGAGGGGAGAGCGACCCAGCAGGGTTAGGTCAGTTGCCCACGGTCACACAGCTGGTAGCTGGTGGTGTCCCTCCCCTCTCCCAAGCTGCCATTCATGGGAAGTCAGCTCACCGCTCTGCTCCTAGCTTCTCCCCTCCCATCCCTGGGCAGAATCTCTGCTCCACCCAGCTTCCTCTGGGCCCAGGCCTCAAACCCACACCCCCACTTTAACCCACCTTGGTGTAGTGGTGAACGAGGGCAGCGCTGCTCATGCGGCCACGATAGTAGCAAGGGGTCACCACCATGGCGGCGTCAGCCCCGACCTGGGCCATGCTCACCGTCATCTCCACCGTGGCCTGAGTAGCTACAGGAGGAAGAAAGAAGTCTTCCCTACAGGCCATGGTGGGCGAAGGCAGGAGGGAGAGGGCCAGACTAGGACCGAGGCAAGCAAGGGATGCAGAAGAGAGAGAGCAGGACCTAGACTGAACCCGGCTCCAGGCCAGGGAGCCAGCCCCCTACACCCAGCCACCGCCTGGCCCCGGGCATTCAGGCCTCACACTCGCAGCCGGAGCCGGCCAGCAGGAGCTTGTCCTTGGGCAGGGCCTGGCGTGCACGGCTCACCACCTCCAGGCGCTCACTGCTGGTCAGGAAGGGGAACTCGCCATTGGAGCCCTGGACCACGAAGCCTGCAAGAGAAGCGACACCTTACCATCTGCTTGTGAAAAACTGGACGTTGGTCTTAACTCACCCAGGTTCCTACCTCCCCAACACCACTGTTTTTCATACATTTCCTTCCCATCTTTGTCCTGAGGCAGGCAGAGTGTTGTACCCTGTTGCAGTGAGAGTACTCACACCATTTTTTTTGTTTGTTTTAATGAGATATTTCAGCATACCAGAAAGAATAGATAATAATATAATCCACATCAGTGTACCCAGTACCCTCAACAACCTCCCCCCTTCTCTTCCTCATCTCTGGCCTGTCTCAAGTGTTCATGGTTCCCATTTGTGTCTTTTTACCCTTAAAGCACATATCTGGAGCCATAAACTATATAATAGGTTTTTTGCCTATTAAGATTTTACAGAAATGGAATCACATAATCTCCTGCTCTTTGCCATTTTTGCTCACCATTATGTTCTGAGCTTTGTCCACAGCAGTACAGAGAGCCCTGATTCATTTGTTTTCATTGCTATATAATACTCTCTTGTGAAGTTAGACCACAACTTACTTTTCATTCTCCTTTTGACGATATTTAGAATATTTCCTATTTTGCTATTACAAACAATGAGAAAACCAACAGTTTAAGAGTTTCTCTCAGTTTAGATACTTAGGTGTGTAATGGCTGAGTCACAGGAAAATGCACCTTCACGTGCCAGACTTCTAATTAGCCAGTCCATACGTAGCAGCACGTAGAAAAACCTGTGAGTTTCAATACTCAGTATTCACGTCAATACTGAGTATTGTCAGAACAAATTCTTGCCAATTTTCTGGATGAAAAGTGGCATCTCATTATTTTATTTTGCATTTCCTCTTTTATCCATCATTTGTGAGGTTTCTAATATTAGAGGTGTCAATCCTTTCATATCCACAAGAGACCAGTAGAACTGATGTTCTTCAACTGAATCTAAAGGGAATGTAAAACCATTTTCCTCTCAGCTTATTTCATTTAACTTTCTCTTTCCTCTTCTTTCTCCCCTCTACTCCATTCTATCCCAAATTTTTTCCCTTAAATGTAGCATACAATACACGAATATTACTAATAAATAGAAGACTGTTAGGGAGAAAGGAAAGAAAGTGGGGGCTATCTTAATATGCAAAATCACTGCCATACAGTTCTGACAGATATCTGATTTGGAGGTTCCTGACAGTCAAAGCTAAAAGGGAAATGTAGTCATCTGACAGATATGTAGAAATCAAGATAAAGCAAAGCAGCTGCCCTGGAGAAACACAGATTTTCCTGGCACTGGGACCGAGAAAGATTGTTCCTGTGAGTCATCCTTAAGAGGACACAGTGTGGTGGGGAGTCAGCTTTACACCACAAGGCTTTCTCTGTGCTGTTCACTATCCCGTTCAAGTCCACTGAGCGGGTGGCCGGGAGAGCTTCCTGGATACTTAGCATTTCTCCCCCAGTTTCGTGTCTTGGTAGCATTGCAGGGAACATCTAGAGGCAAATAGCTTTCTGCTTCTGTTAGATCATTGCCTCCAGCATCAGTTCCTCTATATCAGGCTAGGAGCCCATGGTAGGAGCCTCCTTCTGTCTTGCTACATAAGGTCCCAGTGGTTTCCCAGTGGATCTTCCCACTTGCAGAGTTGCCAGCCCTAGAGAGGGCTCCAGTGCAGCCATGACAGGACCAGTAACTTCTGGCTAAGGATTTAGAGGTCAAGCTGCCCCTGCCTCCCCAAGCCCTCTTGAATGGGGCTTCTTGCTTCAGACATGTCTCCAGCCATGGTCACTCACTCCCAAGTCCCCTTTCATTCTGCTGGCCAAGTCCAGAAACCTTATGTCCCACAGGTGGACTTGGCCTAAACAGCAGGACAGCTGGGTCTTGAGCTTGGCCGGGGACGGGAGCAGGTGGGAGAAGCAGGCCCTGTGCTCATGACTCCTAGTGGCCTCTCCTCGTTTGCTTAAGGGGGCACCCGACCCAGACCTGACTCTCAAGGAGGCAGTGAGTCCAGGCTGGGGAAGAGGAAGTGTGATAGAGTCAGGCAAGCGCTGGACTCAGGCCCCTCTGGCTGTTGGGCGAGTTACATTGGTCTCTGAGACTCCGGACAATAAGGGCACTTCAATCCTACCTTACAGAGCTGTCTTAAAGGCTCAAATGAGAAAATGTATGAGAAAAAAAGCACTTTGAAGTCTGTGAAGTGATACTGCAAAGAACCCCCTCCTTTTCCTCGGCCAGATGTCCAGGTTCAGGCCCAATGTGCCACTGAGTGTGGAGGCGGGGCTAAAGAAGAGGAAAGACTAGAACCCTGGACGGGTGGTGAATGAGGAAAGTGAGCACTGGGGAAGCAGGGAGCAGCAGAGTTGGCAGCCAGAGCCCAAGTTTACTTCCAATGTGGCCCCTTGCCAGCTCTGAACTCTTGAGCAAATAGCTTAATCAAACTTCAGCTTCCTCAACTGAAAAATGGGGATAATTTTAGTGCCCTTTCTAAAGTTGTGTGAAGTTTAAATGAGATCCTATTTACAAAAGCCTGGAATAGACAGAACCTGGCATCAAGTAGCTATAATCATTATGGAGTCAGAGGAAGTGCTCAAGCCTTAAAACTGGAGGGTGGCAAATTTCAATCTGAGGAGGGGGACAGTGGTTGGTATGGGAGGGGAGGCTGCATCCAGGGACCTCTCAGCCCCTCTAGCTCTGAGAGGAAAGAGGCTCATGTCAGAAGCTTCTTTCCCCTAGGAGCTAGTGTGGCCTGATAAGGGGAATTGGGTGGAGGCTGAGGACACACAAGCAACAGGGTGACTTACTGTGGCCAAGAGGAATCACAATCTCTTTTATGTAAGGAGATTCCCCAGTCAGTATTATACACTTTGGCCTATAGTCATTGCCACCTCTTCCGAGAAGTCTTCCTGGAATCCAGTCTTCCCTGAGCATGTTTCCTCTGAACTTCTCCTGCCTGTTCCTAGTCCTTCCCTGCTGTCTACTCAAAAATGCATGGAGATCCTCAGAATCCTACAACCTCCCTTACCCCCACCTGTTGGGACTAGGAAAAATTTCTCCAACTGGCCTCTGCTGTGAAATGAGGAAATTGAACATTTTCCTAAGTCCTCCTTGGCTTGAGGATTTGGAGTCACTTTTTAGGCTTTTCCTCCTCCCCTTTGCTCATCTCTAAACACTCCCTTCCAGCGAAACTGACTGTCAGAGCCCCCCAGACACGGGGCCATCTTCCTGCGGTACGCCTTTGCTCCTGCTCTTCCCTCTGCCCAGAACACCTCCTTAGTTGCAGCCCCCCACATGCTGCAAGGACCTTGAAGCCTTTCTCAACCCCCCTCCCCACTGGGCTCCACGGTGTTTTGTCCTTGCTCAGCACTTGTCTAGAAGAATCTAGGTCAAGGATGGCGTCTGCCTCATTTTGGCCTCCTCTGTGACACCTAGCACACTGCCTGTTGACCTATGTGTTGATAATTGGTAGTATAAAAGAAAAATTATCCCAAACCTGGTCTGGGGCAGAACTTTTTTGCATGATGTAATTCATAACCTCCCACTAGGAAGAAAGGAAAGTTCCTGATGAAATGTTGAAGCAATTTCCTAATGAGTTTTAATGGAATTAAGCCTTGATCTGGGAAACCAGCCACCCCCCACCCCCCAGCAGACTCTCAGGCAAGAGGCTAGTGACTGTTAACTTTTCTTTGTATCTAGTCTAACAATGATTTAACCATTCTGTTTTCTTATAAAAATATCCTCACCAAGAGTTTGTACTTGAATTGTCTCCTTAGAAGCTATTTTCCTTGAAGTACAACTGTAGTAAAACTTTGACATGAGCTCATAACTGAATTGTCCAATAATTTTTTGACTTTTAACTTGAACTACCTTCAGATTTACAGAAAAGCTGCAAAAATGATGCAGAGGATTTCCATACATCCCTCCATCATTGTACCTAACTAGAGAACAGTGATCAATACCAGAGAGTGAACATGAGTACAATACTAGCTGCAGACCTTATTTGAAATTTTTGCCAGTTTGAAACTTTTTTAAAGCTAAGATTCCAAAGTCACAATTAGCTAATCTGAAATTTTATGTATTAAGTTTTTAGTAAGGGATTTAAGGTCTTTCAGATAAATGCACATATTTTAACAATCATTTTCAGAAGCCAAAATTCACTGCATTTGGTTTCTGTCTAATTATCATCTTCCAACATTTTCCAGTATCATTGGCTCCATTTTTTTTCCCAATTAAGATTTTTATTATGAAGTACCTTATACACACGCACATATCATGTTTATGTAGCCAGTGATTAATAGTGTCAGAAATATTCAAATACTCCTAACTGTGCTCCATAAAGTCACAATTGACAACATGTAGAATGTTTATAGATTTACTCATTCTTTGCAATGATTCTAGGCACCTCCTTCCTGGAGTTTGAGGCCCACAGTTTGGAAACCACTGGTAAATCCATAGTAGTTACAAATGGTAAGACATGCCTATGTAAAGGAGACACTGGGGGTTAGACAGTGCCCTGTAGCTGACTTCTCTCAAGTTTCCTGGGGAAGACAGCTGTCTCCCTTTAACAGCTTAACAGGGAGGTCACCATTTGCCCCAGAAATGGCTTCCTGGGACCCAGAAAGAGGCGGTAGGGAGAGTCCCAGGCTTGCAGGTGGGCACAGAGCATGTCAGGACATGTGGGAACAGGACAGGGACAAGTATGAGAGACAACAGTTCAGGGGGCAGTGGGCATCAGACCAGGGAGCAGTGCAGGGCAGGGATGAGGGGTACAGGCTTTGCAGTCAGGCCACACTGGGCTCTGACCGCAGCAATATCCACCTGCTGTCTACACCACCTCTGGGAAGATTGCACCTCTGAGCCTCACCTGCAAAGTGGAGATAATGTCATACCTTCCTCTTCGGTCTGTGCCATAACATGACACAGGGCGCGGCATGTACTAAAAACTTGAAAAAAGGTGGTGGTTGGAGGGAACGATTTCCCTGGTGGCCCAATGGCTAAGACTCCACACTCCTAGGGGATTTCGATT